CTCACTCTGTTGCCCAGGCTAGAGTGCCGTGGTGTCAGCCTCGCTCACAGCAACCTCAAACTCCTGGGCTCAAGCAATCCTTCTGTCTCAGCCTCCCAAGTAGCTGGGACTACAGGCATGCGCCACCATGCCCGGCTAATTTTTTCTATATATTTTTAGTTGGCCAATGAATTTCTTTCTATTTTTAGTAGAGATGGGGTCTTGCTCTTGCTCAGGCTGGTCTCAAACTCCTGAGCTCAAACAATCCTCCTGCCTTGGCCTCCCAGAGTGCTAGGAAGGATTATAGGTGCAAGCTACCGCGGCCAGCCACAACTGCTGTTTCTTTACCAATCAGTTTTAGCCTTGGCCTAGTCTTCTTTCCTTCTAGATAAGATTAAAGTTGCCCAATTACAGAATTATGCCTGCTTTCTGACAGCAATTCAGAGCAAAGGCCTTTATTTAATCCTTCCCAAATCTAACACAAACCCAAATCATTTAAGTACTTTCTAATACCCTGTTGCTGGGACCTACCCCCCAGTTCTCCATGGGGTGCATTCTCCTCCCCTACAAAGAGTAATGAGACCAACTTGTTCAAATACGTGTATTCCTGGTAGCCTTTGGCTGGAGGACATTGACAAAGCAGAAAAATATCCTATAATCCCATCTCTCAGAGGTAAGCCGGTAATATAATACCAGAGGTAATATACTGTGAATATTTTGGCATATTTTCTTCTTGATGTTTTTCTTTATATGTCTTTATATAGTTGAAATCTCTAGGCTATTTCATCACCTTCATTTATTTCCCATCCTCAGGAATGAATGAACGTTTCATTCATTATTATTTCATAAACATTTATATTATCTTTTCATTTCAGAGGCAAGGTCCTTACAGTTAAGGACTATTTCTTTGTTTCTTAGTCTTGTCACAGTATACACACAATCTGGGATATATTTAGTTTATAATAAACACTTGGTGAACTAAAAGACAATTTTAGTCCAATATTCCATTATCTTATTTTTTAATCATTTTATCTTTGAAGTGCAGCACTTTGAGTATTTACCGCTTGGACTGAGAGCCGATGATTTTGACAAATGGCACTGAAATTCTAGATGAAGGAAGTGTAAAGTTGTTCCATGGTGTGAGTATCACACTGTGAATGAAACATATCTGGAAGAATGAGCCAATCATTCTTTTGGGTCCAAATCTTTAAGGCTCTGAATATCATATATTAAGTGGCTCTTGTGTAATAATACTCATAATAAAGCTCATGTCTGACATGTCTAGAAATATATACCACTCCAATCTTACCCATGATATCCCATAAGGGCAAGTGTGAAAGCATTATCATTACTTCAACATGACTACAAGAAATTCATAGAAACAGGCTGGTCTGAAGGTAATGAGTTATCTCACTTGATTATTCAGTCAGTTACAGATTGAACTGCTTGTTCTACTACTTTCCCCCCTCCTCACTCCTGCACTTGACTAGTCTTAAAAAAACAACAACAACAAAAAATAAATTCATAGGAACAAATTGGGATTATACATGTGCTTCTTGGTGCATACATAAACACACACACACGTCAAAGCAAACTAAATCTCACTATCACAGTTCCTAATAACAGAGCCAAGGAAAAGGAGAGAAAAATGCCATGATGCATTCATCACCAAACTTGCTTGACACAAAGAAACAACTATAGAAAATTATATCACAGTTTCCTAACCTTGGCATTATTGACATTTTGGGTTGGATAATTCTTTTTTGTTGGCTGTCCTATGCATTGTAAGATATTTAGCAGTGTGATCACTCTCCTGCCCAGTGACAATGTCCCCAGGGGATCTGGGGTGGGTTGGGGGTAAAATTGCCCTAGGTTGAAAGCCACCAAGCTAGTTTTCACAGCTTTGACCACCATGTGCTGATGACAGGCAAAATTGTTAATATAACCTAGCTGAACTCCCAACTAGTTTAAACAGTTCACTTTCCCTTTGTGAGATATAAGTTGAACAAATATCTAAACCTACATAAATGAAAGTTATTAGCCATCCTGTTATTTAAAACAAGAGAAACATACACAAAAATATACCATTTCCTTTACTCACTTTTGTGATAGTTTTTAAGATGGCAAGACGATCTGCTGGAGGTGGTAAACCCACAAAGAGTGTTTTGTCCAGCCGGCCTGGGCGTAGGATTGCTGGGTCAATGATGTCTAAAGAAGAGAGGAAAAAGTCTTAAATAAAATAAAATTTTTAAAAAGTTTAACTAAGAGATGAGAAAAGCCCTTTTTTTAAAGATAAAAAATTAACAAATCATACTTTATCAAAATTAAAAGCTTCTAGGCCCGGCACAGTAGCTCAAGCCTGTAATCCTAGCACCCTAGGAGGCGGAGGCAGAAGGATCGCTCAAGGTCAGGAGTTTGAGACCAGCCTGAGCAAGAGCTAGACCCCGTCTCTACTAAAAATAGAAAGAATTCATTGGCCAACTAAAAATATATAGAAAAAATTAGCCGGGCATGGTGGCGTATGCCTATAGTCCCAGCTACTCGGGGAGGCTGAGGCAGAAAGATTGCGTAAGCCCAGGAGTTTGAGGTTGCTGTGAGCGAGGCTGACACCACGGCACTCTAGCCTGGGCAACAGAGTGAGCCTCTGTCTCAAAAAAATAAATAAATAAAAATAAAAGCTTCTGCTCATCAAAAACCATTAGAAACTTTATTAGGAAAATGAAAAGTCCACCCCCCACCTTCTGGCCCTAAACCTGCTCTTCCTCTAGGATCTCTATCTCAGATAATGATCACTACCCCAGGGCATCCCCAACTCCCAAATCCCAGGGAGTTTTCCCCCTTTCCTCTACCAGGAACAACCTCCATCAAGTCTGCCTCTGCCTCTGATCACCTCAACTCTCAGTTAAGGCCAAATGTAAGTCCCCTTAACTAGAAGAAGCCCAGCTTCTAGACTTCCCCTGTCTGGGCCTCCTTACAATGCTGCCAGGGTTATTGTCCTTAAATACAAATGCAATTCTCTCAACTCCTGCTCCCCACTGCAGAATGAAGCCTAAAGTTCTCACTATGGCAAGAAGGCCCCTTAGGATCTCACTATCTTCCTTTCAGTTTTATCTTTCTTTACACATTCTTCCAACCCCCACACCCTATTTTACGAAATCTCTTGCTGTTCCCTGAACAATCCAGTGGCTTTCGGCTTTCTTCACTTTGCTCTCAGTAGTTCCTTTCCCTGAAATGCCCTCTTTCTCATTTATACCAATTGGAATACCTCCTCTAGGCAGCTTTCCTCGAGTTCCTCCTAAGAAACTCACCTTCCTTTGGGCTTGCTGGGCTCTTGGTACCAGGAGTATAGGGCAAGTCCCACACTATGCCTGACACTGAAACTCACTATAAACATTCCCAGCTCCTCCACAAAAAGCTCATTTTAAAGTCAAATCATTTCCAACAGTCCCTCAACCATTAATGTGAGGATTCTTATAGCTCACGGTGATAAGATAGACCACTGTTCATACATAAGCCAATCTACTAATATTTATAAATAATGAGACTCATGTATCTACTAAATGTACTAAGACTTAACCAATGATTTACTCCTCTATAAAGAGGTAGAATTATTTCTTTTTTTTAGCTAAAATTTGAAGCCTGTTAGCATTGTTCTTTAGTCACCTTATGGAAGCTATATACTTACTCAATAGTTTTATTATCAATATTCAACACATTGTTGAAGTTTCTCTTGGGATGGCAGGATTTAATACATGGAGATAAACGATTATTGCATAACACTTTTGATATTATTAGATATATTAGACATGCATTGTCCAACAAGCCTGTCAAGGGGCCTTCCAACCCTACAGGGCAGAGGTTTTCAAACATTCTGGTTCTAGAATCCCTTTGTACTCTTAGCAATCACCTGTTCTGTCACTATAGGTTAGTTTGCATTTACTAAATTTTTATGCAAGTGAAATTACAGTGTGTACTCTGTCTGCCTTCTTTCACTCAACATAATTATTTTGGGATTCATGCAAGTTGTTGCATGTATCAGTAATTAATTCCTTTTTATTGCTGAGTAGATTTCCATTGCATGACTGTGCCACATTTACATTCCCATTCACCTGTTGATAAACGTGGTTTGCTTCCAGTTTTGTACTGCTATAAATAAAGCTGCTATGAATACTCCTGTATAAGTCTTTGTATGTGTTTTCATTTCTCTCTGGTAAATACCTAAGTGTGGGATACTGGTAGTATGACTATCACACTGTAAGTGTATGCTTCACATTTTTTTTGAGACTGAGTCTCGCTTTGTTGCCCAGGCTAGAGTGAATGCCGTGGCGTCAGCCTAGCTCACAGCAACCCCAAACTCCTGGGCTCAAGCAATCCTTCTGCCTCAGCCTCCCAAGTTGCTGGGACTACAGGCATGTGCCACCAATGCTGGCTAATTTTTTCTATATATATATTTGTTGCCCAATTAATTTCTTGCTATTTATAGTAGAGACGAGGTCTCACTCTTGCTCAGGCTAGTTTCGAACTCCTGACCTTGAGCAATCTGCCCGCCTCAGGCTCCCAGAGTGCTCATAATAGGCTCTTAATGATAATGGCTGCTTGACTGAATACAACTGCCTCCCACCAGTGCTGTAAGATCTCTAAATTTCGAGAAATGAGGTTCAGAAGCAGATTCCAAACTTGGGAAAGCTAAAAGCAAACAATTTATGCTCATGAAGTCTGAAGCATTTGTGTACAGTTGCAGCAAAAACAAACCACTAACAACAAGAACAAAAACCACCACTTTGATCTTTCCCAAGGTGAAGAAATACATTTCCTTTGCCTGCTGAAACAGGGCAAAGATTTAAGCAATGCTTAGGTTTAGTGTGAGGCTGCCTAAGAAGGGAGACATAACACTGAACCTCGTTAGGAGAAAATGAGCAGTAACTTGCTCTACAATAAATGCCCAAAGCCCATTGAGCTCAGTATGTTCTTTCTTAATCCTTTATGTAAAACTCAACCCTGACTTTGGTGCCAATTCACTTTAGCTTATATCCAGACATGCTAGAATGAAAAGTACAGAATTTAGTATAGAACTCTTAGAATTTCAGCATTTAACATTGTATCCTGCAAGCACACAGTACATGTTTAATAATATTTTCAATGACAAAATGCAGAGATAAACAAAACACAGTTTTTAATGATTTGAAATGTATGGCAGATGGCTGGTTCATGAGTGCTTGCTTTATTATTCTGATTCATAACTTACATATATTCCTTCCTTTGTAGCAAATATTATATTATGAAATAACTATTTTAAGAAAAAATGTACAAAAGTGAATAAACCAAAGCCATTAAGCTTTATCTTCCTGTGAAACATCAGCCCCGCCAGGGTGCTCCAGGCACAGGGTTCAGAAGACCTGGACTCGCAGCCCGGAGCTGCCTACCTCACGCAGTCACCTGTTACTCTGCCCACACTCACACACCAGCCCCGCACTGCCTCCCAGCAGGGCCAGTTCAAGAACTACATTTGCTAGCCACCACCATTAGATAAAATGCACATGTTCATTTAACACAGGTTCAGGTTACACTTCCTACTCAATCCACTTTGACCTGAAAAATAAACGCTATGACCTTAGGCAAATAATCTTTGTGCTTTTTTCTGTACCCCAGGTGTAAAACTAGAGAGTCAGACTGCATGATCCATAAGTATCTTTTAGTGTAAATGATTTTCAATTGAGTCAGGATAGTGGTCAACCCTGGAGGCAGGCAGGGGTGGGTAGAGGCTGGAAGGAAGCAGGAGGATAGCTTTTATAGGTCTGGGAATGTTCTCTCTTTTATTGTGATAAAACATACATAAGACTTACTATTTTAACCTTTTCTTTTTTTGTTCTTTTTGAGGTGGGGGTCTCGCTCTGTTGCCCAAGCTAGAGTGCAATGGCACAATCATAACTCGCCACAGCCTCAACTTCTGGCCTCAAGAAATCCTCGTGTCTCAGCCTCCCAAAGTGCTGGGATTACAGGCATGAGCCACTGCACCCAGTCCATCTTAACCATTTGTAAGCATACAGTTCAGTGGCATTAGGTACATCTACTTAATGATAAATTTTATCACAATTTTAAAAAAAGTTATGGCTCATTTACACTAATATTTCCTATAATTCTGATTAAGCACTATATGTTATGGAATACTCAGTTTCAAAGTAATTTAAGATATATTACCACCTTTATTTTAATAGTTGTTTTAATTTGGTCACAAAAATCTGTTCTTAATTACACAACAGAGGTCTGGAATCAGTCATGATTTTTTCCTTTTTCAGTGATGATTTTTTTTTTTTATTTATTTTATTCTCTTTTCTAAGCTTTATAGGTCTTGTAAGTGATGATTTTTATTCACATAGTTGACTATGAACAATTAAAGAAAAATTAACATAATCATACCACTATAATATGGTAATTGTTACTTTGCAATTTCTTGCTAGTCTTACAACATATATATAGGAACACATGATTTTGTATACTGCTTTTCTGAGATCATATTTGTTCATCAGCAAAATGAAATTATGATTCATTTAAATATTTAAGTGTTCAATTTCAAACACTTCAAAGGGCGGTTCAAGGCCGGGCACGGTGGCTCACGTCTGTGATCCTAGCACTCTGGGAGGCCGAGGCGGGTGGATTGCTCGAGGTCAGGAGTTCGAAACCAGCCTGAGCAAGAGCGAGACCCTGTCTCTACTATAAATAAAAAGAAATTAATTGGCCAACTAATATATATAGAAAAAATCAGCCAAACATGGTGGTGCATGCCTGTAGTCCCAGCTACTCGGGAGGCTGCGGCAGGAGGATTGCTTGAGCCCAGGAGTTTGAGGTTGCTGTGAGCCAGGCTGATGCTCGGGCACTCTAGCCAGGTAAACAGAGTGAGACTGTCTCAAAAAAAAAAAAAAAAAAAAAGGAAAAAGAAGTTGCTCAGACTCACAAATCTTTTTAAACTTTTAAGAGCAAAACTAAAGAATTTTATTCCAATCCCCCCATATTTCAGATATTAATAGGAAAAAGAAGAAACTGTATATAAAACAATTTGGGGAATTAAAGTGAAAAGCCAGAAAACTTTGAAACAAAAGGTAAACATTAAAAATGCCAATTTTCCTCACTC